AGGTTGATAATTATCCTACTGTGTTGGTGATGATTCAAAAGAGGGAACGGGCCTCATCGCCAACCCCTGTCTTGACCATGTCATGTCTGAAATATTTGAACTTTTCCACCCCAGGTGTCAACCCGTCTTGACCATGTAATGTCCTAAATATTTGGACTTTCCCACCTCAGGTGTCAACCCCTGTCTTCACCATGTAATGTCTGAAATATTTGGACTTTCCCACCTCAGGTGTCAACCCCTGTCTTGACCATGTAATGTCTGAAATATTTGAACTTTTCCACCCCAGGTGTCAACCCCTGTCTCTCACCATGCCAATGTCTGAAATATTTGGATTCTTCCCACCTCAGGTGTCAACCCCTGTCTTCTCTACCATGTAATGTCTGGAAATATTTGGACTTTCCCACCTCAGGTGTCAACCCCTGTCTTGACCATGTAATGTCTGAAATATTTGGACTTTCCCACCTCAGGTGTCAACCCCGTCTTCACCATGAGCAGGTACAACTTGTGGTTTTGTCAAGTTCACTAACTCATTGTCCATGAACTGTTGAGGGTGTTGAGCCTGTGTGCGTAAGGCCGAAAAACAATATATGTGTTTCCTGATCCAGTCGATCAATATAGGAGGGCGATATATCAGCTGTTTTTTTTAACTTTAACCATTTTGTAAACTTTTTAAAGATTCATCTATTGCTTCTTTAATGTCATTAAGAAGCTTGAATGATGAAACAGAACAAGTTTTATGTTTGGTATGACGCGGTCGGGGATCGAACCCGCGACCTTCCGCTCTCCGGGCGGACGCTCTAACCACTACACCACGGAGGCGGTCGATAAAAACAGAGGGCCACATGAAAATATACGACCAACATAAATCGTATATAAACACATGAAGATCAAATATCCAACCTTTTGCTCTTCAGTAGCCTTGCTCCAAGTCTGTACGGAATGCTAAACCCGTAGATGTATAGGAATTCTAAACTAGATAAGCTTACAGTCTATGGACGCCAATCTGTTATTTATATATTTTTTAAATGTTCTATTAAACTATTAATTATTACCTTAGAGACTAGTGCAAGTCTAGCTCTCCAGGTAAACGGTCTTTTAATGATTTTCATCTCAGATGACACCATCCAGTATGGGTTCCAAGCGAGTAACGATAGTTTCAATAATATTCAAGTTACATGACAGCTGGAAGCTTATAGACGTGCACTGCCTTTGAACTCTGGTGTGGTGTTGACAAACAACATCTGAAAATCGATCTCACTATCACAAGGTTGAGCCAAGCACATGTGACGGGCACAGCTACTTGCACGTTTCATTAAAGTGGAGCAGACCTAAAAACACACATTTTGAAGAAATGTACAGGATAGGTATCTTACGCACTTTTAATCATCAAGTCATACTAGAAATCACGCATTTTGAAATATTCTCCAGAAATCACATATTTTGAATTATTTACAGGATATATTTAATAGGAATCAATGTGTAACATGTTTTACTCTTAGCACTTATACAAAAGAGTGAGTGAGTGAGTTTTACGCCGCTTTTAACAAGTTTCCAGCAATATCATGGCGTGGGACACCAGAAATAGGCTTCACACATTGTACCCATGTGGGAAATCGAACCCGGGTCTTCAACGTGACGCGCGAGCTACCCACCGCCCCCTTATACAGCATACATGTTATCAGTTTACATAATATATAATATGAACACGTTGTAAGGATGAGACTACATACATACTATGCAACATATGTTTGACAGCACACATTTTGAAGTATTTACAAGAAAATGGCACAATTTGAATTATTTACAGGCTATGTTATATACAATATTGCAGAACGCACCATATGCGCAATATAACCGGAACACAGTTCACTACAAGGACAGTTTCCAGCCCAGCTTCAGCAAATGTCCAACGGCATCCAACAATTCATTTGACCAGCTTCTCTTTTTCTCACCAGCCTTCCATCAGACTCTCTGTGGCCCTTCTTCCGGTGTGGAGGAGCAGCATCAAAGTCTGCTTGGCGCCTTCTGAATGTTTTGAAGCAAGCCTACAGTTCTGTTCAGGTTAGGATGTAGACTAATGATTAGTCTCTGACTATATATAATTTTGATAATAATAAACAAACCCATTTAAACTGAAAAGGAGCCCCTGGGAGAGCAGAGATTCAGAACCTGGGAAAATCTAGACTTGCTTCATTTAGAGCTTTAGCATTGCAGGGAGGGCTAGGAAAATAATATGGTTCAGGGACTGTGAGACAGACTAGTTAGGATGCGGATGTAGAACACTGTGGCTGACACACTCCAGGTTGATAATTATCCCACTGTGTTGGTGATGATTCCAAAGAGGGAACGGGCCTCATCGCCAACCGATGTCTTGACCATGTCATGTCTGAAATATTTGGACTTTCCCACCCCAGGTGTCAACCCGTCTTGACCATAATAATGTCTGAAATATTTGGACTTTCCCACCTCAGGTGTCAACCCCTGTCTTGACCATGTAATGTCTGAAATATTTGGACTTTCCCACCCTCAGGTGTCAACCCCTGTCTTCACCATGTCATGTCTGAAATATTTGGACTTTCCCACCTCAGGTGTCAACCCCTGTCTTCACCATGTAATGTCTGAAATATTTGGACTTTCCCACCTCAGGTGTCAACCCCTGTCTTCACCATGTAATGTCTGAAATATTTGGACTTTCCCACCTCAGGTGTCAACCCCGTCTTCACCATGTAATGTCTGAAATATTTGGACTTTCCCACCTCAGGTGTCAACCCCCTGTCTTCACCATGTAATGTCTGAAATATTTGGACTTTCCCACCTCATGGTGTCAACCCCTGTCTTCACCATGTAATGTCTGAAATATTTGGACTTTCCCACCTCAGGTGTCAACCCCTGTCTTGACCATGTAATGTCTGAAATATTTTGACTTTCCCACCTCAGGTGTCAACCCCTGTCTTCACCATGTAATGTCTGAAATATTTGGACTTTCCCGCCCCAGGTGTCAGCCCCTGTCTTGACCATGTCATGTCTGAAATATTTGGACTTTCCCACCTCAGGTGTCAACCCCTGTCTTCACCATGTAATGTCTGAAATATTTGGACTTTCCCACCTCAGGTGTCAACCCCTGTCTTCACCATGTAATGTCTGAAATATTTGGACTTTCCCACCTCAGGTGTCAACCCCTGTCTTCACCATGTAATGTCTGAAATATTTGGACTTTCCCACCTCAGGTGTCAACCCCTGTCTTCACCATGTAATGTCTGAAATATTTGGACTTTCCCACCTCAGGTGTCAACCCCTGTCTTCACCATGTAATGTCTGAAATATTTGGACTTTCCCACCTCAGGTGTCAACCCCTGTCTTCACCATGTAATGTCTGAAATATTTGGACTTTCCCACCTCAGGTGTCAACCCCTGTCTTCACCATGTAATGTCTGAAATATTTGGACTTTCCCAGTGCAGGTGGCGCATCCATCACCTCAAGCCAGGCTTCTTGCACCTCAGGAAACGGAAGAAGGTGAAGTCCAGCTTCGTATCCACTTCTGCATATTGGGATAATAAAACCAATAAAACGCAACACAACCAAGATCAGACGCAACTTATAAACACAATCATAATTTGGTCAATCTGTAGGTAACACCATGCAGTTCCGCCGGTACTAGTTGAATGATCTGTCTGATGATTGGGTCGCGTGACAAATAGGGTGTCTGACAATTGCGTTTAAACCAAACTGAGAGGTACTGCCTAGCGACCACTTATCGCCAAGGATTAATTATCGCCAACCCCCGTGTTTGCAGATTGTTTTACTTTTTCTCGTTTCCCTTAAGACAGGAAACATATTTATTAAAAATTATTAACAAAACTGACTCTTACCAGGTACAATCAAAAACGTTCGAAGGAACATCATCAGAACGTGTAAATGTAAATCCATCGCAATGATGCACATTTTGTTTTGTCAGTGATCTTATTGACATTATTATCTGACTTGTAGCATGTCAATGAATCCCATCTGCGTAGATCGATAAACAGGGGCTTGTAGAGGAAAAAAACCTAACGTCAAGGATGTGGATCGATAAATGTCAGTCACTAGATTGTCTGGTCCTGACTCGATTAATTACAGACCGCTGTCATGTGGCTATAGAGAATTGCAACAACGAACAACCTATCAAAACGTCAGTTGACAGATGAAAACTTTATTATTTTTATTTTATTTTATTGAATTTAATTGAATACAATAATTGACTGCGATAGAAGAGATATTAAAGCAACCACATTGATATATAAATCAAGCGGCGGCAGGTACGAGTTACTTCCCCTTGATCGCTCATTCCAAGCGAATTGGAAATGTTTTAATACTCCAAGCATTTTATTTCACTGAGGGTATCAACAGCATCGACACCGGTAACTTCACGCTTGCATTTTTCATAAAAAGACATTGTTTATAAATTTGACAGCTAAAGGATTATGTTGATAGATTCATGTTGATCAGCAATCAATTTTCTTGACATACCAGAGATGCGTGCTATTATCGAACCGTATGTTCAAAGTGCATTTAGTGGTGAATCATCCCTGAACCGCATGTTAAGTGCATTAGTGAGTCTAACATCTCACCAAAGTAATTTTCCCCTTTAACTGACAAAACTCGACGTTTTATGAACAGACAACTGTAATACGCGTTACAAGGGAGATAACTCTGGTGGACATACATTTTTCGGGATGTTGTGACTGTAGACGTTTGCGCTATCTTGTAGAATTTAACATGCTGTTCGTGTGTTGACAAAATCTGGTACACTTTTATCGAAATGGAACTTCTCTTTCCAATATATCCCCTTCTATAACACAAATGTGATCACACATTTCCCCGAGTCCATTTGTTCATTTCACAAAAGTCAAACTTACTAGCCATGGTACAGTCATCTTTATATACACCGATTATTTCGGACATGTACATCCATTTTACTAAAAACCGCAATTGATTGATCATAGTGAAAAAAATAGTTCGTTTGTTCGCTTCGCATTTTTGATGTACAGAAGTTAAACAACGCGACATCGCCAACAAAACCATAACTGTCACGTGCGATCGGGAAGACACATCCCTTAGCAGATAGATTCTAATCAGAGCGATGGGAAAGTGCTAGCCACGTGACCATCCATCGTCTCCTCCCTCCAAGTCGGTGTGACCTACATCGTTGTTCACAAACAGCTTGTCTAGCTCGGCTGCTCGCCAGCCTGCGTTGGCTTCAAAACTGAACTTCACGATAGGTACCGTCAAGCCAGAACAGCGTGTCTTACAGACTGATGGAAGATCATGAAGATCAAACGGGTATGTGTTTCATGTATGACTTAGCTTCGTTGCAGTACGTATCAGTTTCCTCCCCACAGCGCGCTTTATTGAAGACCCTCGAATAAATCGGGTAAATATTCATCCTCGCTATACCGCGATTGTAATTTAATTGTATGGTGGCACTTTTATTGCGCAATATGTGCAACCAACCGTGCAAACAAGTGCATGGCAATCTAGACATCAGTTTTGCAAGAGACCATATCGGTATATGGTCTCTGGTTTTGCTCAATGTTTAAGTGGAAGGTTTATCGACATACGGTTTAAATGCAGTTTGTTGTGTAAAATTACGAAATATGTACAAAGTTATTTTTGTAATAATAAATATGAAAGCTTCCAGATTAGACTAACGCTGAATGTGTATAATTTTTATAGTAATAAATAAACCCATTTAAATTGAAAAGGAGACCCAGTCGAATGGGAAATTCAGAACGTGAACCTCAGGGAATCTAGACTTGCTTCATTTTGGGCTTTAGCACTGCAGAGAGGACTAGGCAGTAGGGAAAATAATGTGGTTCAGGGACTGTGAGACAGACTTCTTCCAGGCACATTACAAAATTAGAAGACACCTTTTACTGAGTGGATTGTAAGCTGCATACTCATAGCGCCTTGTCTAGTTTTATCATTTGGAAACAAACTGTATTCGCACTCTTGTTTAATGGTGAATTGCTGATATTGCACAGCTTGTCGTATTGTAGTTATGATATCAGTTATGATATCGATACTTGTACATTATCAATTTTGACGTTGCTACCAGACTCTGCATTTATCAGAAAGGTTGCCTAGCAACGAATGTCGACTGTTGATTCAGTTTATGGAATTTCGATCGCCCGTCCATGCTGAATATTTAACGACGGCGTTATTGTGTTTCTTACATAGTGTTGATGTATATATAAGTATGTTGTATTTCAATGTCAACTTGTGGCCGAAAGGTGTTCCTCTGTATGAATGGATTTGATGAAACATGTTTATTTTTCTCAGGGTTCCAGATAAGGGCCGTATCGGCGTATGTACGGATATAAAATAAGCACGACACGGTAGGAAATAATTTAGAAAACGTAGCAGATACGCACCACAGCAATGGTGTACGGTCTTAGAATCATTTACAGATGTATTTATCTGAAACTGTATTGTTTTATTGTTGATTGACCTGTTTACACAAGAATAGCAATGTTGTGGTGCATATATGAAACGAAACACAAGATTACTGATATTCCATTAAATTCCATTCAGTACTCTAAATGTACTCTTATTGTTTTCCAGTACTCCTGTATTGTAAAAATAAGGAGTACGTACTCCTGATCACGAAACATTATCTGGAGCCCTGTTTTGTTGACAATAAAATACATTCAGTCAGTTTCTGCTAGCACCAATAAAGGGATATTGTCGATATGTAAAAATAGCCTCGACTTAAAGGATCACATCCGACAAGTAGTTCCCTGTTGGAAATGATATATTCACACTCGCCTCCACACAGATCATTTGGCATAATCAGTTAATTAATACTAACCTTGGTTTTCTTGGCGTTAGTCGTGGGCCAAGTTCGAATCCCCTCCTCAGTAACACAAAATCTGTGATGTTGATTGAAGTGCATATGTCATTTAGTTCTAAGATGTCGTCCGGGAAATACAATATTGTAACAAACAAAAACTTTGTTTTAAACTTTCCTGTGGCATCACATATTCACCGTTAGTAGTCAGTAACTCACCCTACGGATCTCCTCTTCAGCTGCATATCTGCGTCAATACGGAAAACACGTTGCCCTTCCCCAATTACGTCTGAGTTGGTTGCGTGAATACAAAAAATGAAATGTCAAAAACGAAATGGTATAGATATTGGGCTGTAAATATTACGAATGAAGCATTTCCAAGAGATCAAATCAAAATGAACCTTGCTGCGGTAAATAATTCACAGAGTGTCAGTTGAAACTGGCTCGTCTCAAAGGAGTAAAATATATTGAATACAGAGAGAAAAGAATATATCCCCAGTCTGGATGATAAGATTGTGAATACATACTGTGACTGGAAAACTGTTGGTAACATTACGACCGGTCGTAACTCTATATAGTTTATCATAGGCTTACGAATGTGGTACGGCTACGAACGCTTTGTGGATCGGAACCAGGGCCTGTATTCTAGAAACGTTCGTAGCCCTAAGAATTCTTAACTTTGATGGTAGCCAATGTGTTAAGAATGGGCTTAAGAGTTCGTAGGACTACGAACGTTTCGAGAATAGCTAGCCTGGTGATGCTTGTTTCCAGAAGAGTATGTCCATAATTAAGTCTTCCAGAACATGGAGCAGTAATTAATCAGCACCTGAATCCGAGGAAAATTATGTACAAAATGGTCCAAACAGGTGATCTTTTGCATACTGGAAAGCACATGTAAAGAACGTACTTCACACAATATCTCAAAAGCTATTCGTCGCATGTTCACGTACTGCTAAGGCGCCAAACACATTTGGATATAAATTCCATAATTGCAAAATGTGTACTACAGTTTATTGAACTAATTTAGAAGACGACAGTACTCAAAATTAAATTTTCTTGACATGGCAAAACGTTAAAAAATACTGAGGACATGTTATTGACATGCATGACGCGGGCACATACCTGGAACATAACTACGCGGTTATTTGTCAACTTGTGAGGAAACGCGTGGCCGAAGTAAATCGTCCTGGAGGAAGACCAGTGACTGTGATGACCAAGTCCAAAGACGCTGTCCCATGACCCATGTCAAATGACAGTACCATCAGAAGGGAATGTCGTCGGATCAGACGTCCCTTCCCTCCCTCAAAGATAGGGACGTCAACGTCAGGAACGTCAAGCGTGATGCCATCCTCGATAATCTCCAGGGTATACGTTCCGATAAACTCCCCTCCACTCCAGGGTACTAGAGGAGATTTATCGGAACGTATACCCTGGAGATTATCGAGGATGGTGTGGTGCAGGCTCCGAGAAAAGCGCAACTTGAGATGGCATGGCTGCTGCTGCTGCTGAGTATGGTTTTACGCCGTTTTTAGCAATATTCCAGCAATATCACGGCGGGGGGCACCAGAAATGGGCTTCACAAGTTGTACCCATGTGGGGAATCGAACCCGGGCCTTCGGCGTGACGAGCGAACGCTTTAACCACTAGGCTACCCCACCGCCCCTCGAGATGGCATGGCCTTAGCATGATTGGTCTGATGGAACTCACTACCTTCTACACCTTACGGATGGCCGTTGTCGCATATGAAGACCTCATAATGAGGAATATCGCCAGGAGATGATCTGATGCAGCTGAATCCTTAGGTGGTTGCTCAATGATGATGTGGGGTAGCGTTTCGTATGACTGCAAGCTGGGTCTCATTACAGTACCTGTGATAGTCTGTCTCACAGTCCCTGAACCACATTAATTTCCCTACTGCCAAGCCCTCTCTGCAGTGCTAAAGCCATAAATAAAGCAAGTCTAGATTTCCTCAGGTTGTGAATCTCTGGTCTCCCTAGGGCTCCTTTTTAATATAAATGGGCTTGTTTGTTACTATCAAAATTATATATATTCAGAGACTAAGCCTTAGTCTATACCTGTGACACTCAATGGCCAACGTTATCAACAGGAAGTATACTGGATACCGCTGTCGTGGCTCATTTTGAAAACCACCCTTGCCAGTCGTCAGATATTCCTAGATGACGTTAGACCTCACCATAGTCCGTTTGCAGAACAACGCCATCGAAACATCACCATAGCCTCCGTGGAGCCCCGATATATACCCCATCGAATATCTTTGGGACTATCTTGGACATCAACGTCGAGCGAGAGCAGCCTGGTTCCCGGGTTCTGCTGCGCTACGCTTCAACACTGACCCGGCAAGGTCTGCCCAATGGTGTCCGTCACTACAAGGCGATTGGGCTGGGACAGGTCTAGATTTTCTACCCGGGTACTCCACCCCCTATTACCTTACCCTGATACCCGTTATGTTGACTCCTGACATCAAATTTGTGAGTAATGGCATGTATTATATTCAATACAGGCGACTGTAAATTTAAATCTTCAAAGACAATACAACTTTTTAATCATGAAAGAACAACATATTACATTGTTTAATCTATTAGTCACATGATCATAACGGGTCCGGGTATTGAGACGGGTACCCGGGTCCAACTTATCACCCACCCTTCCCGGGTATCTGGGTTACCCGTCCCAGCCCTACCAGGCGACACTTCATATATTTACTGTTGAAAAATCAGAGATTGGGTGTTTAGATTTTTTTCAAAGCATTTTCATCGATACTAATTCAAAGTCTTCGTGACCAGAACAACGATAATCGTTACTTTCAGAACACAGAAACGTTATTTAAGCATTTTCGAGACGCGAAAGTCGTCGTTGCATTGGCGAAATGTAAACAATGACACACACCCTATTTTCAACACCGACATATTGTGTGCGTTTATATTTCGTCTCAGCTCCCTATTGTCCCGAAAGTGTACACATAAAACATGGAGCTGAACGACCACATTATTTAAATACCGTTAGCATCTGTATTTTAGCAATTTTGATGACGAAAATATCGCTGAACAACTCATACTTGCTTATAATATTTGGCCACATTGACTTTGTCATACCCTTTTCAGTTAAAGTATGTAATTTCCAATATTTGTTATCCTGCAACAATATTTGCAGTTACTATTTCAAAATAAAAACTTATCTTCTAGTTAATACTTACATATACTACTTTATACATTTAATAAATGGACACAACTGTGCAACATATCTTTTTGATAAGTCCCAATTACAAAATACCTTTATTATTAACACCCCCAACACACACACACCCAACACACACACCCCCACCCAACCCCCCTAGAATGTTTTTGCACAAATTGAATATTTGATAACTAACATTGACCCCCCCAAAATTTGTCCCATCTCCATTTTTCACAAAAATATTTTTGTGAGGTTCCTAGGGCTTTACATTGCTATGTACTGGAAAGGGCTCGGGATATTTGCTGTGATGAATAACGTAGGTGATCATAAATGTACAACTGCAAAATCCTATTATGAAATAACAAATACAACGATTAGCCGATCTGCACACATCTCAACTCCATCCTTACTCTACCTGTCATAATTAATCTATAACAGCCTTTTAATGAAACCAAAGAAATCAATAAACATTCCTCGACCAATGAATGGGCCAGCCTGAAGACGACGCTTTGACGAAGACGACGCTTTGACAACTCTGCAGCTACTTGGCAGATATACACATGCTCCAAGTGTTTTGTACCATGTTGCATGTCATAGTTTTCTGAGTCACACAGAGAGTGTCCAGCATGATTTGCCAGGGCATGTCCCTTTGTGTCAGTGCTATCGCCATTGTCGTAAAATGTCGTTCGTTACCGGAAATACTAAACAACGTAGGTCTCGTAAAGTGCAGTGACCTACTTAGGGGTCCTATTGACACAGGCACTCCATGAGGAATGACAGAAGATTCCGATGCTGAAAATCCAAAATAGGGAGAAATGTTTTCCGTGAAAGGTGTGGCTAGACGGACCGGCTACAACAGGTACTGATACGGTCGCCAGTGGTGGTTTGTACACTCACAACAATCATTGTATGAGGACTGCGTGCAGGTCACGTCCGTGGCGTAGCCATGGTGACCATACATCCAGGCAATGTTGACATTGCCGTTTTTTGTGTATTCCTCTCCGATAGCAGGAAATAGTTAACAAATTTCAGTCTCTGTTTTGTTTGAATCAGAGTAGAAATATGTCACTGTTACCATTTTAATTCGCGTATTTTGGATTTCAGGGCATATGCAACAACATGTAGTGTTTTCCTATTCATATAAAAATGTGAGTGGTGCCTGATCAATGTCTATGTGTATGTTATGAAAGATTTTCTACTCAAGCCTTTGTTGACTTGGTAAGTCAGGGTTGAATCGGTAGGATTGTTCTAGGCCCAATTTAGATTTTATTTTTTAGAGTTTAGATAAAGTCTAGTTTTATTAATTATACGATAATTTATTTCTGGGAATATATGTCCCACAATACCAGCCCTACAGAATCAACCCCTTTCTTCAGTAGATGTTTTCACAATGCCGGTAGTTTTAATATTACAACTGTCGTTCTGTTTGTTGCAGGGGTACTCGACGCATATGGGACGGGTTATGCAATCACCTTTGAACTTTGAACAAGAACTCGTGTCAGAGCAAGACAACGGCAGATAAAACCATGGGACCTCTGTGCGCGTCATATCGCATCAGCCAATCACTGCCGGTGGCTGTTGCTCTGACAGAGCCAATCACAACAGTTCTGCTATCGCCCCTCGTGGTCGACCTGTATTCCCACGCCGAGCTCACGCTTAGTTGCAACAAACATTACCTGATGTTTGTGGAGTTTGTGTTTGTTGTCATTACAATATGCAGCTTTTTAGCTCTATCACTATGCATGAGCAGAATTATTCGCCTGTTGCCCAAAGGTAACTCAGACATTGAGAAAAGTTTGAAAAGTGCATTCGTCATCACGACAATATTGAACCTCGTTATGACATTGGCGTTTCTCTCCGGAATTTCCCGAGATCAGCCTTCAGATGACATGGACGATGAGGGTTGCCAATATTGGTCAATGAAACAAATGGCCCGCTCAATAGGGCTGAAGTCCCTCATTCCACAAGTCGTTATGTGCATCACCGTCTTACTCTCTTCAATGTTCTTATGTATAAACCGACAAAAAAGAGGCATCTCAGCGAATAAAGACCCGTCAGATCAGAACGTCGCAAAGCATATAGTTCTGCCTCTGTTATCAACGTTACTGTTTCAAGTATTTTATTTCATACTACGGTTGACGATGTCCCGCTGTATGTGTGGCTGGTTCACGCTAGTGTCTCGGAGGATAGGGAGAACGCTGGAGCTGTGTTGGATCAAGTCTATATTCGTAATCACTTTACAGATACTCTATGCTTTCTATTTGAGGCGTCGCCACACATCCAGCCTCTCGTAAACAATTGCCATAGTGATTAGACAAACAGTTGAGAAACATATATCAATAACTTAACCCTCGTTGAGCTGATAACGAAAGAGGGAACTAAATTAATAAAGTCATTTTATCAATATGTTGTCTTTAAGTTTCTTGGTTTATTCACGGAAAGCTGGTCACCACGTGCGAAAATAGCTCCACGGGAAACGCTAGTAAAATCTTCAACTCAAGAAAGTGAGATGCTTGATCAACGTACACAGTACACGAGAGCAGACAATTTATTCATACTCGTCTAGAGAATAGTACATGAAAAACTGAAACGCTATGTTAATTATTTTGTTCCCTAGTTTTCATATTATTCCGGTTAAACTAAATTTCACTCACTCATATTATTCCAGGGCCATAAGCGGCATTTGGGGTAACCGAGTGCTTAAGGCGTTCATTCGCCATTTCGAAGACCAAGGTTCGATTCCTCACATGGTAACAATGTTTGAAGCCCATTCTCGTGTCCCCCGTCATAAAACCGTCGGGGGCGGTAATGTAGCCCAGAGGTTACGGATTATAAAGCGTTCAGTCATCACGCATTGACGATACCTCCCAGTTTTGGTGTACCCAATCGTGATGTTGCTAGAATATTGCTTAAAGTAGCGTAAACACATACTCACTCACTCACGTGAGCACCCTTGAAATATATAGCTAAAAGCTTTAAAGGTATGTGACGACACAAATATAGTCTTTGTCTGCTCGCCCACAAAGCTATCTTCAATGGAGACTGAACAACGGCCCACTTTCCACCCAGGTCTTGACCATCACATTAATAAGATATTAGAACTTACATGTTAAACATGGCAGGTCAACTACAGTGATATTAAAGAAGCGGAAGGCCCGTTACTTCTTTTGAGCAGTATACACCATGCAGTGTATGTACAATTTGCTTGGGTTGCCATTCCGCCAGGCCTGGTACCCCTGAAAGTCACGTTATTTAGATGAGCGTATATATTGATTGTCGGATTACAACTTGCGACCAGATGACCAAGAATCGTCTCAAGTCTGTGGATAAGGATCGATAAGTTACGACAGCACCGGCGCTTCTTGCTGCGCAAGGCTTGGACAAAATGGGGATGTATTTTGAAATGTTTGGTGAGAACACTATTGAGCATTGAACGCACGGATCCTTTTTGTGAGAGGGCTGTGTTTCGTAATTTGACAATTTGTGTTCCGTAAATGTAACATTACTGAAAATGTATCCCGGAATGAATATTTTATGGTACATGACATATTAGACGACTGCAAGGGTGGAAAGATTGATAATATTGTATTAGGGGTGATTGCGTGCTACGCAGTTCTGCATGCCCAATATATCCCCGGATGTAACTGTCACGCTAACCAGGATCCCCGGATGTAATTAACCAGGATCCGCGTATGTAACTGTCATGCTTACCAGGATCCGCGTGCTAACCAGGATCCGCGTATGTAACTGCCATGCTTACCAGGATCCGCGCAACTGTCATAACCAGGATAACTGTCATGCTAACCAGGATCCGCGATTGTAACTGTCACGCTAACCAGGATCCGCGTTTGTAACTGTCATGCTAACCAGGATCCGCGATTGTAACTGTCATGCTAACCACGATCCAATCAGGATTCGCGTATGTAACTCCGCGATTGTAACTGTCATGCTTACCAGGATCCGCGGTTGTAACTTCATTACCAGGATCCGCGGTTGTAACTGTCATGCTAACCAGGATCCCCCGATTGTAACTGTCATGCTAACCAGGATCCCAGGATCATGCGACCAGGATCCGCGCGTATGTAACTGTCACGCGTTGTAATCAGGATTCGCGTATGTAACTGCCTACCAGGATGCTTACCAGGATCCCCGATTGTAACTGTCATGCTAACCAGGATCCGCGATTGTATCTGTCACGCCAGGATCCAGATTGTTCGCGTATGTAACTGCCTGCTTACCAGGATCCCCGATTGTAACTGTCATGCTAACCAGGATCCGCGCGTAATTGTATGCTAACCAGGATCCGCACGCCAATCAGGATTCGCGTATGTAACTGTCATGCTAACCAGGATCCCCGATTGTAACTGCCAAATGCTTACCAGGATCCGCGATTGTATCTGTCATGCGCCAATCAGGATTCGCGTATGTGCTAACCAACTGTCACTGTCAACCAGGATCCCCGATTGTAACTCGAGCTAACCAGGATCTGCGTATGTCACGCAACTGCTGCCATGCTAACCAGGATCAGCGCTTACCAGGATCCGCGATTGTATCTGTCACGCCAACCAGGATCCGCGTCACGCAAATCAGGATGTAACTGTCATGGTAACCAGGATCCCCGGATGTAACTGACGTGCTAAAATGTATGAGGATCCGCGTATGTATGTAAATTTGTCATGGTGACCAGGATCCGTGTTTGTAGCTGTTGTCGCCGACAGCCTTAAATTTCTCTATCTCTCCATCAGAAGGCTGCTTCTCCACTGTCTGATATAGGGAGTCGTACGTGCTACCCGTATTTGGCTCGCCACCAAAATCACGGGCTTCTACACCTGTAACGTATAACAATTTGAATTCACATTCAATTATCGTCCGTCAGCCATCACACATGTATGGCTGACACAACATTTTCCTAATGTTGTACTATTCCATATTCACAAGTGAGTACCCTCTCAATATTCTTTCTATATTTCATAGTGCTAAATATCTAATTCTTACCATTAAGTACCCTAAGTTAGTAAACATATTATTACCGATCGCGCATAAAGTAAACATATCTATCGCGTATCACTTACTAACTTAACCATTTGTACGTAAGACAGATTGTGAAAGTATAATTATTATCTATTTTATAAACCTTTATTATCAACACCAGCTGCGTATATTTTTAGTAACAATATGATGCATCACCTGTATGTGACGTCATCATGTAAACAATCACTATTATTCAATTGTTATCATAATTATAACGTATGCCACTGTACCATGATATGTTATCAATTGTATAATTAATGTGTCTGATTGATAGACATTCAATTGTCATCCGTCAGCCATCACACATGTATGGCTGACACGACATCTTCCTATAATGCTGTACTATTCTATATTCACAGGCAACAAACAATATGTTTAACACAACCAAGGATCTCAGTTCTATTTTTGTCTGCTTGGCACAGACTAAGGCCCGAACCCTCGACACAGTCATGCTAACCCAAATCCCCGTATGTAACTGCCCTGCTGCTTCAAATTATTTCATATGCTTGCTTTTTCTGTTTGTTTCATGTGTTTATAATCTGATTTAATATACCTATACCATAACTAATATACAGGAAATTAATTATACTTCCATGATACCCACAGATTCACTATAGGATACTGAAACCAGAGACCATAACAAACGTTTTAAATCCGTTTCTTTTCACCTACCACTCGTAATTCATGTTTTGTTGCTTACCCACCGGAAGTTTTGATCGACAACTAAAATGGCGCGGGTTTGCATGCAGAAATGCGAAGTCTACACATAGGCGCACTCATAAGGTATTTACGGTGGTATTTAATTTGATTATTTGTGAATGATTTGCAGAATATTTGTTTTTTTCACATGCATAACATTCCTCAATGAGTATGGATTGCGTCGGCCAAGAACGTTCAACATTAATCGCCAAATACAGATAGTGATGATGTATTGTTTCAATCATCAATGTTTACACAACAGGATCCCAGAAATATCTAATGCAGTCTCTCGAGATATATTTAATTTATCCAGGTGAATAAAATACAATCATAAACACAACACAAACATGATTGTTTCCATACAAATCTATTGTTTATTTGTCATATTTACATCGAATGTAACCCAGAACTTACAGTTGTTTTGCCTGTTTCTCATGCTATGATATTCTAGAAGTTAGTGAATATTATCATGTCAAGCATTCCAAATGAATGCTAACTAATATGCTTTTCGAATTGTTTGTATGTTCATTAGCAATGTGGAAACAAAATCCACATACAAGACTGAAAAACAGAAAGCCCTAACTTATATTACAGGGCTCTCACTTCGTTTATATTTGATGAAGTTTGTGGTAATCTGTAAATTAAATACATTTACCTGTGCTGTCTTAATCAGAAATGCAAGTACTCATGGTTTAGTCTTCCTTCATATCTCTTCATACCATGGCAAAAGTGTGATTTGTTGGTCACGATATTGATCAACAGACTGGTGTAGACTTCATAGTTTACAAGCTGCCATCATATCACTGGGATATTGCTGAATGAAAATAAACAAATCACTGTGTTATTAAACATAGCACCAATCACTTAACCATTTAGTCATCGTATTATCACACTACTGTTACTTCACAAATATTGCTTTTGCAAAACTGAACTTACTTTAAGTACTTTGGGATTACACTTTCTTAGTAAAGTACAGATTCTAGTACTTTTGTTGGGTTGGTTCCCATTGGGATTCAAACCCACACCCTCAGAGTCAGGCACCTAATCGCAAGCACACAAAGTCAGCTGCTTAACACCGTGGCTGACTTTGTGTGTTGGCGATTATGTGCCATTTGCCCACTTTCTAAAAATGGCATTGTGTAATCATACTCTATACAAATGTTTTACATTTATTACCGGTTACAGTTTCAGATATACAGTTTTATTGAACTGAAGGATGAAGCCAGCCAACATACTCTGAGTGTTCAGTAATGGAATCTACCATGTATCTCCGATGAGGTGATGGAATCTACCGTTTATCTCCGATGAGGCGATGGAATCTACCATGTACCTCAGATTTTGGGAGATCCAGGCAGCACTGAATCATGGTTTTCAAACTAACATGAAGTATATAAATTCAACTTTATTCTCAGTGCTTGTCGTGCCATCACTGGTGTGAATACACCACCCATCAGTGTCATGATGGATAACAGTCCACACGATGCTAGTGTGTCAAACAATGACGTCAGTGTCAATCAAGACTCAGTACTGACTGAAGATGAAGGCACAGATGTTAAAAAGAATCAGAAAGAATCCTCAGATTCGACTGAAGAACAGGTTGCTGATAGCACAGGAACTAAGGAAGTCGAAGGCATAATGGAAGGTAGTTCTGATATTGTGGCATGTTCTGATAGGGTTGGAAGCCCTGATACGGATTCTGATGACAGCCAGTGGACGGATATATCAGACGAAGTAACAGAAGATGAAAAAGAATCTGCTGTTCAGATTGTTTCCCGTAAGAGTTTTGCAAGCACGCCAGTCAAGGACAAAGCAGCTCAGAACTCCAGCAGTTTGAGTGAAGAGGAGAAGCAGAACTATGCATTTATTAGTGAGCAGTTGTCAATCTTGAACCAGGAGAGCAGTGAAGTGAATACAGCCATGCATCGGTCACAGAAGAAACAGTTGAAAAACACACCATCAAAGCACAAGGGTGACCAGAAGAAGACGCCAAGGAAACATCTAATCATGGCAAGCTTAGAACTAGAGAACAGGTTTGTCTCACCACATTATCATGATTATTTTCATTTAAAGGAATGAGTGAGTATGGTTTAGTACTTTTACGCAATATTCCAGCAATATCACAGCTGGGGAACACCAGAAATGGGCTTCACACATTGTACCCATGTGGGGAATCGAACCCGGGTCTGCAGCGTGACGAGCTGATGCTTTAATCATTAGGCTATCCCATGACCCCCAATTTAAAAGATATTTGGATTACATGTTTTTGTTATGTTGAAATGAAATTGGCACATTTACCATATTTACCACCTGTTTCATGTTGAGTTGCTTAACCATATAATGATTATACATGCAGTAGCTCAGTAGTGATCAACAGCCAACATTTAACCATGTTAAGACTAAGAGACCTGAGAAGAACCGGGTTAGAATTGGTCTTCAGCAACCCAAGCTTATCGTAAGAGGCGACATTGCGGGTAGTCAGGCTTGCTGACTTGGTTAACACATGTCATCACATACCAGTTGTGTAGATCAATGCTCATGCTGTTTATCACTGGATGGTCTGATCCAAACTCGATTATTTACTGCGACCATATAGCTGGAATATTGTTGAGTGCATAATTAAACAACCAGCCAAGCATGTTAAAGTTATATATTGTATTCCAGTTATTGGATTTTCCCCAAAATTAGACTACGCAAGATTTGGTCAGCATGGTCTGTGTCGTATTTCAGCAGAATAACAGATTACATATTTCATTTTCAGGAAGTCATTGAAGAAGAGACTTGAAACCACGCCTCCATCGACACCGAGCAAGTCGGTTGTTGCTGATGCTGCTGGTGCTAGTGGCATTGCTGGTGTTGACTACCTGAGTGCTGACGATGCCGACACCTCCCAGGACAGATTGCAAATTGCGGATACTGACATGGATGACAAGTTGGAGGAGAGCGCGCCAGAAGCAAGGGCCTGACTGCGGTCAATGTGAAGAATATAATTCATGTAGGTTTTAGTATTTTATCTCTGGTCCATGAGTTTGGTTTAATGCCACTTGATATTTCAGTTACCATGGTTTTATCAGGGAGTGCCAACTTATATGGAAGCACATCTACATGCTTGAAACTGTGCAGGGTAATATTTAATGTTTGTTCACTACCTGCACCATGTACAAACAAGTAAATTAATCAGGTTGCACATCAAACATGTCTAACATGTCAAATATTGAATGTGGCATGTTGTCAACAATCTCTTGTCACTGACAGCAGACAATATCCAACTTCACCATGTCTAAAAAGGTTCACATTACTTGATGTCGGATACTACTGTATGCTTGATAGATGGTTGCTATTAAACCGGCGTTTTCATCCCTAATTTAAATTTCTTTACTGCTTGGCAAACTTAATGTATATCACAGAGTGACTTCAGGCCTTTAATGAAATATCGGAAGATTGTGTACAGTGTGTGCTATAAGTAACTAATTCATGAGTATGGAGAAGAAGGCATGTTTGCATTTTTCGCTTCCGGTAATTGATTCACCTGATACACTCAAAGGATGTAGACAAAGGAAATTTATACCAAGAAGAACCCTGCTGTGCACTTGTGGTGGAAAACATCACATGTACTTGGTGCAACCTGACAAAAGTGAGTGAGTGAGTTCAGTTTTACGCCGCTTTATCAAGATTACAGCAATATCAAGGCGGGGCACACCAGATACGGGCTTCACACATTGTACTCATGTGGGACCTGACAAAAGAGCTACCTGCACTAGTAATATTTTACTGCACTGGTGCTGTCTGTATATAGCGAAATCAGTCCCTGCTGTGACGAAACCCTTAAGCATGAGTATGGTGCTGTCGAATCTAGAAATATGAATATGATAATCAGAGCAAACCAGGTTTGAATCTTTTATCTCAAAATGCTTCATTACGTTTTTAAAAAGGTTGTGTATTGTATCATTGACATGCTTGAGAGGTTGTCATTCAAACTGGTTATCACTCATGCTGATAACAATTCTGTTTAGTGTTTATCATGTTTATTTGAATGACAAATATCAGTACCTTAACAACATGATTCAGAGCTGTCAACCACTCCGATTTTGGAGAGTTACTCCGATTTTCAAATACAAAATCCACTCTCCGATCTCTCTTTAAAAAACTCCGACTTTTGAGAAACAATTCTGAATTTATTTTTACGGTATACAATTTTGTAAGTCATCAGTGATTTATTTGAGTGAACACTGGTAAAAGCATTCAGAAGCTTAGCATGTGATCATTTTTGGGTGTCGATTGTGTATATTATATATATTGGGTGTTATTGTTGATGAAGTTTCACAATGTTTTTCTGAATGCATGTCATAGCCTGTGTCATAGCGCCTGTAAGTGCAACAATATGGCAGAGCCGACCACGTGCTGACTCCCAGCCAGGCATGACTCTGCTTTCATTATCCCCCGCTGCGCGTTTAGCTCCGTCTGTACGTCCGTCCGTACGAATTGGAATATCTTAAGAACCGTTGACTAGATTGTTTTCATATTTGGTACCTAGCTCCATCACAGTATAAGAAAGGTCCCAGTCAGGTTTGGTGACCTTGACCTTAATTTCAAGGTCACAAGGGACTTTAACACTTTACTCTTGTCAGCGAGATATCTCAAGAACCGTTCACTAGATTTTCTTCATATTCAACACCAAGCTTTATCTAGGGAAGGCGCAGGGCCAAGTCGATTTTGGTGACCTTCACTTATTTTTCAAGGTCACAGCGACACTTTGAAGATTTCAGCTTGTTAACCTGCATGTTAAAATGGTTGGCGAGATATCTCAAGAACCATTCACTGGACACCATATTCACCATACACTATGACATTTATGTCTTGAAAATATTTGTGTGTTTGAAGATCTAAAGAGCAGGATATCAAGAGAGGTTGACTGGTCATGTTTTTGTTGACGTTTAACTTCATCTTTTACTTTTTAAGTTTGATTTGATAATTTGCTGCAGGGTATTATGTCAGCTTAGTGACAATGCTTGTTGGATTCAGGGTTGGCATCTCTGCATGATTAACAGACATTCATCAAATCACTAAAAAGGTGCAGGTCTGAAGTATGAGTGAGTTGGGATTTACACTGTACCGTAATGCTTTCACCACCATGCTCCCCTACTGCACTTACAGGCCTTAAATATGTAAGAGAATTGTCATAATTGGCTTTGTCAAATGAACTCAGCTGTAGGGGTGAAACGGTACGCTCTTACCACGGTATGGTACATATTGCGGTACAAGGCCTTTGGTTTGGTCCATTTCGGTTCGGTATATGATAACTTCAGGGAAAATACTGTCCGTCTAGCAAAGAAATGCGTAGATTTTGACAAAATGATTCGATTTCTAGACATTTTGTGTTGTTCATTCTGTCTGATATGAATGTTTTACAGGAACTGGTGAAGAATGAGGATGTCCAACAGATGATACGGAACAGCCTGAATGAACAGCTGACCAGCATTGGGCGTCTCACCCATGAACCCAAGATGACACGAGCCAAAGTGAAGGAGGTCATCGAGAAAGGGGTGGTGGGTATTCTCCTCATCTCTCTATGAACTAGATGAGATTGCATGGTCAACAATGCGTTGAGGACAAGTAAAAAGCATTCATGTGGCCTCATTGACTAGCAGCTTTTGATTATAATTCTGAACCAGTTCTCATTGCACCAATTTTTCAAGAAATCTTAACAATATATACATGATAAAAATGACACAAAATGTAAAGATGTCTGTCTGACATGTTCAAGCAGGAATTGCTGCAAGCTCTGAGGACTAATGAAACAGATTGTCATCATGTTTATTGTATTTATGGTCTCTCAGCCCTTAGAAAAATGGCCGCTGTCACCAGTGAAGAAGCCAACAGCAGCCAAGAAGCCAAGCATCCTGGACCTCTACTTTCCTGATGATGAAGACGATGATGAGTACTCCCCAGACAAAGATACGGAGGTTTGTACTTCCTGTCCTGTGAGACCGTGTGTGAGTTATCCCCCTTAGGTTCACAGGGTCTTTCACTAACCACAAATAAAGGACAAACCCTGAAGCTCTTCTACAGATGTGGCTTGATTACCATGCTGTTAGAAACATAATGTAAAGAATTGTATGGAGTGAATATTTCTGAAGGGTACAATTGATCTGCAATTGGTCTGCAATGGTCATGAAAGTTCAGCTTGTATGAATGACTTGGTTCGATAGCATGCTTATGTACACGATGGTGGGGGTCGTTGCTGATAACATTACCAATCACTGGATTGCCTTAGTGGGGCTTGATTATTTACAGGCCACGCCACTTTCATAAAACTTTGATATCTTTGAGACAGCTGCAAAAAGCTGGAGTGGTTCTGATATGACACAGATATGTACATCATGCATAGGTCGTTTTCAGATTTGTGGAGCTGTTGTTGAATGTTGAGGTTTGAAATATCATCAAGATCTCAATAATACCAACAAGTCTGGAAGCACATCAGAATGATGATGCTCATTAACATTGTTTTACGAAATTCACACTCAATTCTCTGTGTGTCCCCAAACAACTGAGAAGTATATGACATCACTCAGTAAATTAGACAATGGCATGCATCATATATGCTTCCATTACAGTTTACAAAGATTCTCAGTCATGTTATGAAAGAGTCCTGCAGTTACCCTGCATTCTTTTAAACAACATCAACAAATCTGACTTGGTGGACCTGTTACTCTCACAATTATTATTGCCTTATTATTCTAGGCTCAGCGTGAGAGTGACGATGACATGGAGAGTATGATATCCTCCCAAGCAAGTGATCTGGGTTCCCCCATGCCGCCCACCCCCTCTACCCCCACAGTGAGGACCCCCCTGCAGGTCAATACTCCACAGACAGGGGACACCGAGGTATGTCACAACAGGAATGGGATACCACTCAACTCCCTTGTAGAATGCAGAAAAATTATGTTACTGTATATGTTGCGTTTTACAATAAGTTTTGTATGTTTCTTCATATAATTTTCATAACACTTCCACATATTTTCAAAGTCCTTTTTTATTACGGTACTCACGTTTGTTCCTTGTTAAAGCAAATCAATTAACATATAGTGGCTGTTTATTATAAGCATATTACAACAGCATTTAAATCTACAATTGTTTATATATGCCCTATTGTTTGCTTTGTCTACATGCTGATCCAAATTTTCACAAATACTTTAGACTTTTCTAATGTCAGTCATGACAAGCATCTTGGCTGATTGATGGTGGAAGGTTGGTAAAGTTTTGAATGTCAGTAGGTCTTTTTCCTTGTTCTTTTAAGAACCTTCTTATCTTTTTATCTTGGGGTGGTGTGTGTGTGTGAGTCAGGATGTTGAGTTACATCTCACGGTCACTGGGATTTAGAGTAGGTCTTCAGTCTGTGCTTTTTGTGACCTATATTAATTGAATGAAAAGGTTATATGGTTATTTTCCTGTGCTTCATTGTGGCCTGGTGCTCATGATATCAATTACTGGATTGTCTGGTCCGAATTTGATTTGTACAATCAGCTCTGTTGCTTGAAAATTGCAACAGACAAAAACACACCAAAACCCACGTAACATAATAATGTATAATGAGATACTCCAAGTCCAAGCTTGTCCTGGGCCCAATTTCACAAAGTGACCTTATTGCTAAATCTATTTAACGCTATGTTAAAGTATGGGAGCTACGATCATCATACACTAAGATTGCTTGGTGAACGAGTGACCAGGCAGCTCACACTGGTGATTTGTGGAACAAAGGCCTGTATTGTTTGATAAAAGATATAGTAATCCATCCACATTTTTACATGACATGGTTAGCAGACATTTCTATCCTAGCATTGATGGGATGCCATGGCTTCTTATACACAGACATTCCGGAGTCCTATGGCTTCTACATCTGGTGTGAGTCTACATCGTACCTCGGCACTGGGACAGCACTTCAAGACCTCCATGGCAGCCCTGGAAGACACTTCTACACAAGAGGTACTGGTAACTAGTCATTCATAATAGGGGTAGCTTAGTGGTTAAATCGTTCGCTCGTTACGCAGAAGACCCGGGTTCGATTTCCCAAATTGGTACAATGTGTGAAGCCCCTTTCTGGAGTCCCAGCCGTGATATTGCTGGAATGTTGCTACAAGCAGCGTAATGCTAAATTTTTAATGTTTTATCCTATCTCACGATTTGCACTTCTCTCTCTTGCTTCGACGCTGAGTGGAACAAATGAGAAGTTTTCGTGTAGGCCTCTCTTGTCCATACGCCCGTTTTCCCCAGGCCGCTCTCTTTATAGGACAGGTCCCTAGTCCCTGGATAAGCGTGCAGCACGTTCCCGTCTACCCACGTGACTACCTCTGAGTGATCATGCTTCTTTTGTCGCACTACTGTGTGGACGTATTGTGAGAGTTCTCAGTTTTCCTTAAAAGTTAACAGAAATATATCATGGGTAGTTAACCCAAAGTAGCGTAATTTTGCGCACACTGTAACAGTATTTTCTTCCTCGGATCCCCACATGTGTGGGTTGTATTGTCCTGTGTTCCTGAAGCAAGCATGGTGGGGAATGTGCTCCCTTATCAAGGACATTTTTAGAGCATGTAGGCATGCTTGCTTCCGTTGGCTGGCAGACAGAGTTGTTCAACAGTTGATCACCCGACAAAACCCCTGCTTTCAACGACCAGTATTAACTGCTCGTCATTTGGAGATTCCCATGTCGGAAGGTGATGATTTTATTGGCGCATCATCAGATGTCTACTCGTCGTTCTACCTCATCGAACCGCTCTGTGTTGCCAGCTGACTCACGCAGCCGATCTACATCGTCAGATTGCCACACCGAATGGATTCACCAGGCCGAACCGTTTCGCCAAGGCGTATTGGATCATGACATCAACTCATTCTTCTTCATAGAGATCGTCCTTGGGGTACATATTATGCATTTTCCGGCTGAAAAATGTCCTGTGACAGTTGTATCAATGTTTTTTGAATAAAAAGATTGAACAATAAATAAACTCTTTATTTCCTTGGGGTACATATTATGCATTTTCCGGCTGAAAAATGTCCTGTGACAGTTGTATCAATGTTTTTTGAATAAAAAGATTGAACAATAAATAAACTCTTTTATTTATTATACGGTCCCTGCCTCACGGAGTTACCTCCCTTAGAGCATGCGCACCAACTGGGTAGGCTCCTAGACCCGTATCATCATTCCTTCTGCTGTCACTGCCATGAACAGGCGTATGTTGAATACTTCATGAGCGGACGCAGCTGAACTTTCTGGCGAACCAGAAATTGAATATGTCTCAAACACCACCTGTATGTATGGTCTTTATTTGCTTATGAAAGGAACAGTAAAGCTTTACAGTTGGTTGTTTCATAATTGTGACTTTGTATTAATTCTAATCAGCGAACTTTCCGTGGTTTACGCCGCGTGTTGCTCTGCCATGGCGGGAAGTTTAGCGTGCCATGTGGTCGTAATATTGCGTATTAAAACCAACTATTACTTTCCGTGGTAACCTTCACGTATTTTCAATGTTTTTCTCGTGTTTATATGCTGCTGGCGCCGTTAGCTACATGCTGCGTGTTTGCTTTCAGGCCTTTTCATCCTGTTCGGTCTGTGGACAGAGTATTCCACGGGCCGACAGGCATGAGCAATGCGTTGCCTGTCTTGAGAAGACTGGTCACGATTGCGGACTCTTGTCCCATATGTCTTGGGTTTTCCCGGGCCCAAAAGGAGGGCGGCGGATCACGGCTCTTCTACCGGGGAGATCGTGGCGGGTGGGGAACTGACGCCAGGTCCCCGTCTAAGGCTAAAAAGCCGTCAAAAGGGAAAAAATCCCGTGGCCAAGCCCCTCTCCCGCCAGTACTGGTGGCTTTGACATGTCTATAATGGAAACCTTGTTTCAGCAGCATATGGACTCTGTGAAGTCCCTCGTTAAGTGAGTCAGTTGGAGGTCTCCGGCAGGAGTTCCTCGCTCACTCGGGCGGGGTGAGGAGAGTCAGGGGGTGGGATCGCCGGGCTCGGCTCGATCCCTCAGCCTTGGCGTCTGTTGACCCGTTGCCTCTGGCCGGGTCCGGGCCGCCTCGGCTGCCCGGAGGGAGGTGCTCCCAGTCCCCTCTCGGAGTTGGCGCGGGGACCGTTGAGTATTCCTGGTGTTCGGTCCCTCGCACTCCCCCCCATGAGCGGAGGCACCAGTTCTGCCTGGCCTGCCTCCAGCGTCACCGGGACGGGGTCCATGCGCCTGCTGGCGCCGGCGTGGAGCAGTCTGTCTGCTCTTCCCTTTCTGTGCTTCCTAGCGTTAGGCAGCCCACGGGTCGGGGTTAGGGTCCTCTTTCGGAGGAGACCCAGCCTCTGACTTCGGGCTCGAGCGCCGAGGCGATGGAGCAGGGAGGTTGAGGAGCATGGCGGAGGCTTCCGTTTTGCCGGCTCTGCGGGAGGTCCGGCAAAAAATTGCGAGGCCTACCCAAGCAGCGGTGCCTGTGGAGTTGCGTGGACTCGGCTGAGTTCGCTTGCCTGGCGGCGTTTGCCCCTCGGCAACCCTGCGCAGACGCAGCTCCGCATTTGCCTCCGTTGGTCTCGGGCGTGGTTGATCCCCTCTTGTCTGGTGCCGAGTCGGTTCGACTTGCGGATCTCGTGCGGCGCTACCAGCTTGGGGAGGACTCCTGTTAAGTAGTTCCCATCGTTGGCGAGTGCGTGTTCACTTCCGTAAGCCCTGGGGAGGCTCGGCTTCCTCGGAGCAGCTCCGGCTGCTTCGGCAAGGCGCCTCACTCCACCTTTGCCCCTGGCGAGGCATCCCCTGCGGCACCGCGTACCCGGACCCTCTGAGGAGGTCTACGGGCAGCGATGCAGCAGGTGCGGGTGGTGGTCCCGCGAGGCCTACCTCTCCTCGATTCAGAGGTCGGCCCTGGAGGCGGAGGGGCATGCTGGCGGCGTTTAGCGCATGTCGTGCTGCTCCGTCAGCTCGGAAGTTCAGGCACACCTGCGCAGCGACTCTTTGCGGTCTGCAGCGTCGGCGGTGATGTCGCGCAGTCATGGGGATCGCCAAGCTGTGGCTGTCGGCGTCTAGGTACTTTCGGCAGCGGCGCAGCAGACCTTGCTGGCCCTCCCTTTCCGTCTGGGGGCGACCCTCTTTCCAGGGGCCCAGCAGGTCATCACGGGGAGGCTGCTGCTGCAGCTACCTCCTTCAAGGATTCTAAGGCCTTGTTGGAGCACCAGGGTGTCTGGCTCAGCGCTCCGTTCCACCTTCCTCCGCGGGGTGCAGCCTACGCGCCGAGTCTGCCGGCTGGCCGGCCGCTTGGTAGGGGTAGGCGGAGGAACAGGTCCGCCAAGGGTAGGGGCAAGGAGCAGTCCTCGACTAGCTCCCAGCCTTTTCGCGGGCGCGGGAGGTCTGCCCCGACCTCCCGTTAACCCATCAGGCTGCCGCTCAAGCCGTGTGTCACACCCAGTCAGCTCCGCTACTAGGGTCCACGCACGCGCTCCTACCCCATATCCCAGTGGGAGGCCGCCTCTCTCTATTCCTGCGGAATGGGAGAAGGCTACCAACAAGCAGCAGGTGCTGGCCACGGTCAGCATAGGCCATTTACCACTGTGGGCGAGGAGTCGCCCGACTTCACCGGCATACGTCGCACTCCGGTGCCGTCATGTCAAGCCAGAGGCGGACATATTTTAGCGGCGAAGTTCAGGCTCTGCTGGACAAGTCCGCAATCGGCGCATTCCACCGGGAGAGGAACAGGCGGGATTTTACTCCGCGTACTTCCTCGTCGAAGAAAGACGGCGGGTTCCGTCCGATTCTCAACCTCAAGGGGTTGAATCGCATGCTGGAAGTACCATCCTTCAAGATGGAGACACTGCATTTCGGTGATCTCATCTGTTCAGCCGGCGATTGGCTCCGTCAATCGACCTAAAGGATCGCGTATCTGCATGTACCAATACATCCATCGTTCAAGCAGTACCTTGGTTCTCTTACGGCGGGATGTGTTACCAATTCAGGGTGCTCCCCTTGGCATATCGACTGCCCCAAGGGTGTTCACCAAGCTCATGTTAGTCCCAGCTACCCTAGCTCGTTAGCAAGGAAGGCGTTGTTACCCTTACCTAGGCGACTGGTTGCTCGGAGCACTAACTCAGCCAGCGAGTCAAGATGCTACTCACACAGTGATAGACATTCTAACTTCGACTGGGGTGGATCATCAACCTCAAGAAATCCGACCTGGTACCCACCCAGGACTTGGTTTTCTTGGTAGCGATTCAAGCGAACAAGGATTTCGTTTCCTTGTCGCCCGACCGGATCACCAGAGTTGGAGATGGTATCTTCGTTCCTCTCCCAGCCCCAGGCACCAGCGGACTTGGCTCCGTCTACTGGAGCCATATGGCGGCGGCGATCTCTGTAGTGTGGCGGTAGCGGTTGAGATCGTCCTATACAGCAAGCTTTGGCTCGGCTGTGGACTCACCACGGAGGATCTGGGCGCAGTCTCACAGTCCCAGTGGTTGACACCTCACCTTCAGTGGTGGACAAATGTCGGGGAATCTCACCAGGGGATCCCCTTGGAAATCGGCGCCAGCTCTCACAGTTCAGACCGATCGTCCCTCACGGGCTGGGGGTGTTCTGGGCAGTCTGTCGGCATCGGACTCTGGTCGAAGCGAAGCCCACCTTCACATCAGCGTGTTGGAACTGAGAGCTGTGCGGTTGGTATTGGCTTCAGAGAGCATGTCCGTGGCCAGGTAGTCCGTCTTCAGTTGGACAACCAGGCGGCCATGTCGTACATCCTGAAGCAGGGAGGCCGCGGTGTCCCCAGCGCTCCTCCGGGGCGTGGGACTTTCTCCTCTGGTGCGACCAATGCGATTGTCAGGTACTCCCTGTTTATCTCCGGGGCTGGAGAGCGTCGCGAGCAGATGCGGCTCTCGCCGGATCCTGGCCCGCGCAGTGGATGCTTTCGACAGGCAGATTTTCACAGTAATCTCCCAGTTATGCGGTGTCGTTCCAGGTGGATCTGTTTGC